GGCGTCCAGGTTATGTCCGGCGCGCACCTCAAAGGGCCCACGTGGGCGGGCAGGAAGGCACGGAGGTCCCGCCTCACCGCTCCCGGCGCCCTGCAGCCCTGGCAGGGCTGGCGCCGGAAGGAGTCGCCCTGAGGACACCTGTCCTCATCCTGCCCTGGTCACCCAGAGGCAGCAGGTGCCCCCACACTTCCTGTCTCCCCTCTGCTGCTGGTCAAGCCCATCCCAGGGGCCCTGGCTTATCCACCCGGGGCCGGGGTCAGCCTGGGGCCGGGGTCAGCCAGCCCTCAGCCTCCTCATCCCTCTGTCCTGCCCTGGGATGGACCCCTGGATCCCCAGTGAGCCAGCCAGTGGGCCACCCTGTCCTAGCTTGAGCCCCAACCTGACAGCCTCTGTCGGAGGCAGTGCCACACCCAGGAGGCATCATTACAGACGGGAAACAGGCAGAGCAGCTGGGTCACGTGGCTGGAGGGGCAGGCCGGTACCCTGGAAGCCTGAGTGTGTCTTCACCCTGACGTGCTTACCATCGGGCCCTGGGCCTGGGCTAAGCGCCTTGGGGGTGGGGTGGGGGAGGGAGGCCTGGGCACTGTGGACATGGCACAGGAAGTCGGTGCCTGCAGAGGTGCACCAGGCCAGCCAGACCCGCCTCCGCCTCCCTCGGCCCCTCCCCCTCCCAGGCCCCAGAGGTGCTCCCTCTGCAGGAAGGGTCCTCTGAGGAGACTCCCAGGCAGAGGACCCTCGCTCATTCCCGCACCCGGAGGGCAGGGCCCCGCTCGGCTCTAGGCACTGAACTAGCCCTCGGAGCGTTTGGCCCAAAGAGCGCGTCCACCTGTGAACCAGGAGGCCAGGGTTCGATTCCCGCTCAGGGCACAGGCCCGGGGTGCGGGCTCCATCCCCAGCGTGGGGTGAGCAGGAGGCGGCCGGTCCCTGATTCTCTCTCATCCTGATGTTTCTGTCTCTCCCTCTCCCTTCCGCTCTGAGATCAATAAAACGATATTTAAAGAAAAAGATAAAGGAAGGGCCCTGGCAGGAGTGGGCCGAGGGCACCGCCGCCAAGTCCCGTCCGTGTGTCGGTGGGGAGGTGCTGGGAGCCTGGCGGTGCTCTGGCCCCTGTGGGGTGGGACCTCCTGCTCCCAGGCCCCCGCGGGCCCTGTGCTGCGTCCACGCTGTCCCGGCTGCTCCGGGCCAGGCCAGCCCCGCGGGGCTGTGGGCGTCCCACGGCGGGATGGCCCTGCGGCAGGAGAGGCCGGCTCCTCTGGCGGCCTGTGGCCGGTGATTGCGTCACACGCGTCCCTGGGATATAAACCGGGTGCCGGGCAGCGGCGTGGAGAGCGCTGGGCAGCGATGGGGGCCGGGCTGCTGGGCGCCATCCTGGGCCTGGTCCTGGTGCAGGTGGAGGTGGCCGTGCAGGACCTGGACCTGCAGAAGGTGGCTTCCCGGCCTGGCCTTGGGGAGAGGGGTTCGGGAGGGGCCCCGTGTCCAGCTGCTCCCGGCCCCGCCCCT